CTCTCTTTCTTCCTTCCTTCCTTCCTTCCTCTCATTTCCCTCCCTCCCTCCCTCCCTCCCTCCCTCCCTTCCTTCCTTCCTTCCTTCCTTCCTTCCTTCTCCAGGGCAGCCCATCAATCCTCAGGGGCGCATTTACCCCGAGGAGATGATCCAGACGGGACTCTCCCCCATCGACGTCATGAACAGCATCGCCAGAGGACAGAAGATCCCCATCTTCTCAGCTGCTGGCCTCCCCCACAACGAGGTACGGCCCTCGCAAGCCCCCTCCTCAGTTCTCCTCCATCGGCTGGGAGCAGTGGGGGGGGGCTCTTATTCTGATGATCTTTTGTGCCAGACTTTTTCATTCTTTGGGAATGTGCAAAAGTCTCACGCCGGGGCTGGGGACCCCTTTGGAAAGTAGGGGTGCAGGAGAGCAAACGAAACCCCGACTTGGAAGCAGCCCCACAGGAAGTCCTAGTAGGGCCTGGGACCTCTTCAATTCTAGAATACTCTGGAAAGAGCGCAGAGGAGAGCAGCAAAGATGATGGGGGGGGGATGTTGGGCAGACGTTTCATGACCCAGCTATGTAACAGCATCGGTGCTAGGAGGGAGGGGCTTGCCCTGTCATTCTTAGTAGAAGGGGTCTTGGTGGTTTCCTAAAGCAGGAAGAATAAGTCATTAGTAGATCAAATGAGAGTAAAACCCCCTCCCTTCTAGCACTGATGTTGTTGTCTAGTTGGGTCATGAAACGTCTCTGGAAGAAAACAGCCAAGCTCAGAGAGCACCAAGGACCCCACAGTCTTTCTTCCTCCTCCTCCTCCTCCTCCTCCTCCTCCTCCTCCTCCTCCTCCTCCTCCTCCTCTCCACAAACCTCACTCCCTTCTAACACTAATAATGTTCCTTAGTTGAGTAATGAAACATCTGCAAGAAAATAAGCAGGCTCAGAGAGCATCAAGGGCCCCAGATTTTTTGTCGTTGTTGTTGTTGTTGTTGTCCTCCTCCTCCTCCTCCTCCTCTCTAGCACTGATGATATTCCCTTGTTGGGTCCTGAAACATCTGCTAGAAAACAGCCAAGGTCAGAGAGCACCAAGGACCTCACAAACCATCACCACCTCCTCCTCCTTTTTCTCCTCCTCCTCCCTGTCTCCACAAACCCCACTTCCCCAGTGACGTTACCTAGCTTGGTAACGAAACGTCTCCAAGAAAGCAACCCAGCTCAGAGCAGCCCCAAGGACACAAGACGGAGCGGCAAAGAACGAAGCCCGGGTCCGAGGGAAACCTCCTCCCTGGCGATCCAGGCGCCCCCCCCCCCTTCCCATCATCCACAGCTTCTCACCCTCCTTCTTCCCTCTTCATCCCAGATCGCAGCTCAGATCTGCAGGCAGGCCGGGCTGGTGAAGAAATCGAAAGACGCCATGGATTACCACGAGGATAACTTTGCCATCGTCTTCGCCGCCATGGGGGTAAGTCACCGGTTCTGGGAGCCGGGCAGGTGTCGGGCGGGAGGCCTCTCGTCCCCC